GAGAGAAAAGAGAGACAGAGAGAAGTCAGGATTGCAAAGTATAGTATAACCTGTTGTTTTCTCTGAAGCAGGAAGGGGACAGGCAGGGATTACTGTATATTACATTGCACTGGTGTTTCTGGGACCGTAGCCTGTTGTCAAAACAGCTTCAGTGCTTTGAATTGATTTTGTCTGTTTCTTTGAAAACCTCTCCTTAAAGAACAGAAACTATCTCAATCAAATTGTTAAATGGTCTAGTAAGCTGACTGGTGTACACCAGACAGTTACAGCTGATAACTGGCTCGATTTAAAGTGATGACTCCTGCCCTCTGCACAGTGAATTTCAACGTCTTCCTTCTAGACGATAGTCCCAAAGTGCAGAACAAAGCAGTATATAAATAGCTTTGTTCCAGCAGCCATCACTCTGAAGAACAAGTTGCACAGATGAAAAAGAAGCAATGTTTACATTTTATTATGTTTGTCTAGTGTCTGCCGTCTGTTGTCTATGTTGCTTTTAAAATGTGAGGATGACTTGTCTACTGCAAAACCCATCTACCAATGGGCACAAATAAAACAACCTGAACCTAAAACATATGGGTAATAAAGAACTACATCTTTTTTTCTTTCTAAAATCCCTAAAAGTTTCATTATAGTGATGCTTCCATTTCCTTGTATTGTTCTGTAACAAAACTATAGTCTGCAGGGCTGGAGGGACACACACACCCGCACACACAGGGCCTCACTATAAAATCCCTGTGTGATCCCTCTGAGAGAGTTTATTTTGCAAGACAGCTTTAGCTTGAAAAAAAAGAGGCAGAGCAAACCTGGACTAGTTTAGACCAGTTTGCCCGGGGTTTTGTGCTTTCATCTCATTGTTTCAGGCTCCCTGCAAAGATTAGACTGAAACAGGGAGATACGCTTTCAGTGTGTTGTGTGTGCCCTAAATATGGTGTAGAAATGTGAGGCAAAATAAAAGTCCATTAGATCGCTGTGCTGCAGAGAATCATTTAGAGAGAAAGTTGTGGGTGAGACATTTCATAAGTTCATGCAACATGCACACACATTCGATAATATAAAGTTTACATCATGGGGACTTTGTGATTTAATGTTGTTGCTGTATGGTCTGTTCCACTGATATTGCTGGAATATTGTAGGTGTACATAAAACCACTGAGTATAGCCGTGGAATTCAAATTCACACTCACGCCATGCCTTGCTGATTGTACATTTTAATAACTTTTCAATTTCTAATCTCTCTCCTCTTCCATTTGTCTTTCTTTCCGTAATATATCCTCCCTGTTCTTTTTTTCTGTCTTTGTTCGTCCACTTTCTCTTGAGATGAGAATGTGTGGCCTAGTTTTTCTCTCACATACAAAGGGGAGACTGTTCCATGTGGAAAGCCTCCCTCTCTAACTCTTTACTGGCACGAACAGAGAGCTAATATGGACAAGGCAAACACGGATTAGTTCATCACATTCGCATATTCACCACAGAAATACATCAAAAAGATATAAAAGAATAAAAAAACAATGAGTATAGTATGTGGGTATGTGGTGGGCTGCAAACTGCAGAAATTAAGAGGAACTCAGAATCACCAGCAACACACCCTGCTGATACTACAGCCTACTTTACCACAAGTTTCACCACAGTATTTGTCGTATATTAAGCGCAATGTAATGAATTCTGTCTGCTTTTTACATCTGCCATCACTGTGTAGTATTTAGGAGGATCAATTGACAGAAATGCAATATAATACACATATCTATGTTTTCGGTGGTGTATAAAGACCTTACATAATAAACTGTAATGTTTTTAATAGCCTATCTTAGAATGAGGCATCTCTATTTATCAACACCGCGGGTCCCCTTACAGGGACGTCGCCATGTTGCGCAACCATGTTTCTACAGTAGCCCAAAAGGACAAAAGCTCTTCGGAGCCTGTTTCCTCACTACGTTGCATATGTATGAAGATGAAGAAGAAGTAACCTTAGAAGTAGTAGTCATTTGGTTTATTAGAAATGAGAAAAGAAGAAAATTTGGACAAATGGAGGACCACAGGTATTATTTAGCACAAGAGCTGACAGAGCGTTTCGGCTACTGTAGCTTCTCCTGCTGGGTGCATTCATGTGTAATCACAACTGTTTTTCCTCCTTAAATCTTTATTGCAAGAAGAGACATAAAATGCATGAGACATACAGAAGTATACAGAACTTTGATTCGTGCATAATCAGGTGTTGCTTATTTTGCAAACATGTAATATGTTATATGGATATAACAGTTAGTTTGCTTTCCATGTAGAGTGAACTAGATGTCTGTGTGTTGTTTATATGCTCTGATAATGCTAATCCAACACATCTTTGCGGTAGCATCCATGTTGGTTCCATATTCTGACTTAAGATCACATGAACATGTCGGAAGAACGACTTCACAACTCAGGAAATGGGACCATCCCAGGAGCACCTGAATGCACCGTGAGCCACTGGCTGCAATTTGCAACCTCCCCACTCAAATGTACACACTGAACCTTTAATCCATCTCTCTTTTTTAAGATTTTTTGTGGCTTCTTTGGGCCTTTATGTAGAAAGGACAATGGATAGTGTTTGGAAATGGGGGAGAGAGATAGGGGACGACACTCAGCATAAGGCCGCAGGCTGGACTCGAACCCCGTCCAATACAGTGAGGACTCAGCCTTGTACATGGGGCGCGTGAAAGCATTTTTTCCCTCTCCTTTTGACTCTCTGAACCTTGTTTCCTCGTCTGGGCCCCTTTTTCCCCCCTTCCCTACCACCTCCTCCTTCTGTCAACTGGACACAATGGTTACACGTTATGTAAAACTGCTCCAGTCTGTGAGGAGAATTTCAAACAGTTCACGTCAGAAATTCAATAGTGACTCGCAGTAAGCACGTTCGTCGCAGAGCAGAGTGGCGCAGCGGAAGCGTGCTGGGCCCATAACCCAGAGGTCGATGGATCGAAACCATCCTCTGCTAACTTTTTTTGCCCTTCATAGGCTTTCATTGTCAAAAGTATAACCACATTAAATATGTTCTTTAGCCTTACTATATAATCCACCATAAATCCGTTTGACTTCTAACGTTATTTGTCTCAAAGCTTGTCGCTTATTCATCACTAAAACGAAACCAGCCTAACACGTTATCTGAAATTAAATATTTGCCTCATTTGTGTCTGCTACACATTTTCCCTTCAATTTAACAGGCAATTCCCTGAAAGGAAAGCAGGCACCAGTAACGATGAACACCGACCTTTGAGCCACAGCTTTATGAATGCACAGCTGGAGACTTCCACGGCATCACATAAAAGTCTGGCATTGCTCTCTTTGTTGTATTGTCTCAAACAGGCTAAGGCAGAGATCTGCTTTTCTTAGTTTAGCATTTTTGACAAAGAGACACGTCTTAGTTTATCTGCAAGAAATATGGACCTGTAGTGCCCCCTGCTGTATTCCAATGGTCTTTACATTGATTTTTTTTTACAACTGACTTCCAATTGAATTAAACCATTGTTACGGGTTTTAGGTACATTCAGGAGGTAAATGCACTGTACTGACATAGACCTCTATTTCATGTAGCATTTTATAAGCTTTTGGATTCTATATTTTTGACTCTCTTCTTTGACATCTCTTATTTGATTTTGTAATTGCATTGCCATTATGAGTATTGCAAGTAAGCTAATTAGATTAAAAAATAATGTTGAATATTATTACAGACAGCGAATAAAATATGAACACATATATTAGAACTGCTACAAAAAAGAATGACATTAAGAATAAAGAGATGTGTATATGAAAAAAGGAGAAAATCAAATAATTTGACGATGAACTTGACGCACATTACGTAGTCACGCATTTGCACACGTCACCAGCCAGGAAGTGAGCGGAGAGGAGGGACGGAAGAATCACAACAGAGATACTACAGCTTTGACAGTTGTCTTTTGCGCCGCTGAAACACTTTTTGTTGATACCGAGAGCTGACATGTCACGAAAACCCAAAGATGAATATTACCGTTTTTTTACCGTTACCGACCCACGCACGCACGAGAAGGGACACACCGAGTACAAAGTGACAGCAAGGGTTGGTTCACACTTTTATCTCTCTTTTGCTACAGTGTCACCTATGGAAACATAATGTTGTTATTATGCTTAATAACTCTCTATTAAGCTAACTTACTCATGGTTTGCCTACATATTTTGTTATTACACATTGCTATTGTTATTTCTCTTAAGTACGTAAAATATTACTTGTTTTGTATGTTGTAGCCTTGTATTAATTGGTCAGTTACATCCATCAAAAGCAAGTGACTTTGTTTTGTTGTTCGTTTATAACACAAAGTCAGTCAGTCATAAAAGGACAAAGGCCCTGCAACTAGCTCAGAGTCAGACAGATAGATAAATACACAATGGGCCTTTTATTCGAGGCAGTGGTGCACACTGAGCACTCCAGTGAAGCAGAGCGAACTTGTGATTCAGTTCATGAGCTCCAGCGCCCCACATGACCACACTAATACCCCGTGGACAGGCATGCAGACAAACTCAGAGGAGATGACATCTTCCCAGAGCTAAGCCTTCATCAGCCTCATGTATATTTACACATAAACATATTTACACAGAACAACTGAACTGACTCACGACTTGTTGCGCCTTACCTTTACTTTACCTACTTTTTATATACAGTCTATGGTCTTACTTCTTTATACTGTTCATCTATTTCAAAAAACAATATCACCCATAATTTCAACATAGCTGTCCTCTGATATGTGCAAAGGTGCCTAAAAAGCTGACACTTAATGTCAAACATGTGGTTAATGAAATGATCTGTGCTTTCTCCTCTGTAGTTTGTGTCCAAGCGTCATCCAGAAGATGTGAAGGAGGTGGTCGTGTGGAGGAGGTTCTCAGAGCTGAAGAAGCTCCATGGGGAGTTGGCCTACACACACAAGAACCTGTTCAGAAGACAGGAGGAGTTTCCACCTTTCCCCCGCGCACAAGTCTTTGGTATAATAGGCAAAGATTGCGATATAATTTAGATAAACCCAGTTCCAACATGATCCCCTGTTGCTACGATCACTGACTATCTGAGTTGGTTTTATGTTGCTGCAGCGGCAGCGGCTAGATAAATCACAGAAAAAGCTCATAATACACTACAGAAATGTTTACACTGTCAACTCAACTGTCATTTTTAGGATGTGGTTTTTAGCTTCTTTTGCTTTAGTTGAGTGTCTTTCAGTCATTTCTGGTAAGGATGCACTTTTTTTTTGTATTTTGTCATGATTCTTGTGACATTTCTCCCTGGCATGTTACAATATTTTTCTGTGGTTACAGATTTATAACTGCAAAGGGAACAACACAGTTGTGTCATATAGTCTACCAATGGATAGTCACCGTTTACAGTGAGTTTCAAGACAGCATATAGTTTCTGCCTTGTTGCATCGGTTGAATATACAAAGGCAAATCGCTTTGACAAAGAGTGACAGTGGTTCCAAAACCTCACTAATTCTGACTTGATGGGATCTTTGCTTAACAACACTGCAAACTACAACCTAAAAAAATGACATCATCATCATCATCCAAACCGTCATTATTATGTTGGTTATCTGTCTTTCTCTGTTTCAGGAAGGTTTGATGAAGCTGTGATAGAAGAGAGGAGGAAGGCCACAGAGGCCATGCTTCTATTTACCACCAGCATACCTGCTCTCTATAATAGCCCACAGCTCAAGGACTTCTTCAGAGTAAGACACACTCACACACACACACACACATACAGGAAGTGAAAGAGAAATAGCCACGAACTTCTGCACACAGAAAAACATATGCCAGACCAAGTCATAATGTGACTGGAATTTTCACTTAGCCTCTATGCAGTGCTCTCCACCACACCTCCTTCCATCCTACCTTTCTGTTTCCCTACATCTACCACATTTTCCTCTCTTTCTCCCTACCCTCTTTCAGGGCGGTGAGGTCACAAGGCCTCTGGATCCCACGCCTGTTTCCTCTGCTGGGCCTCTGCCTCCCCCTCTCATTCCCCTCCCCAAGCGGAGAGCCTCAGACTGTGAACCTGCAGAGGAGGAGGAAGGGAGGGAGGCTCCCACCTTACCCCAAGACCTGGGCACCAACGTGGGCTTAGAAGTGGGAGAGCCAGAGGTGGCGGCTGAGGCTTACAGCGAGATGGGAGGGTCTCCGAGAGAAGAAGAAGAACAAGAAGTACTTAGCGATACAGAGCTGGAGGAAAGAGGTATGACGGGTAAAATGCACACAGGTTTGTTCTTTTTTGTACGTAATCTTGTGTTTAACTTTTGGTCCCTGTTTCCACCTCCAGTTCCGTCTCCTGAACAGTCCCCAGCCAGAAACCACCAATCACAAGAGTCCCAGGAAGAATTTGACTCACTGTTTGACTCTGTGACAGAAGAGCAAGTCCCATCCCCAAAGGAGGAAGGTCCGCCTCCTCTGTCTGATAATGACTTGGCTGTCTTTGATCCCTGCTATAAAGAAGGTGAAAATAAATGTGAACGCACACATAGAAAACAATACCACTGCTCTTAGTCCACTCAAAACTCTGCCTTAAATTAATTCCTCCCTGGCTTTGTTAATTTTCTCTAAATGTTTGTGGCTTGTGCAGATTCTGTTTTTTTTTAAAGTTCTGATTTCTTTTTTAATTCCAAGCAATAATTTCTGATCAGGTTCCATTTTGGAAAAAAAAACAGTTGTGTTGGAAGTTATAAAAACTTATTTCCTTTAACCACTCTACAGATTTCATGTTAAGAAACTATAGTTTTGGGTGTCTGTCACTCAGGAGGTAGAGTGGGTTGCAGGCAATCTGCCTGTAAACAAATGTTGGAATTTCATTTACAATTCACTGTATCACATTTAAGTGCGTCTGAAGTTTATACACACACACGCGCGCGCGCGGGTAAGTTGATAGTGCCTTTAAACAGCTTGGAAAAGCTGTTATTCCAGAAAATAACGTCTTGGCTTTAGATTTATTTTAAGGCCTACCTTTAAAGTCAGTGCCTCACTGCTTGTCATTATGGAAAAATGAAAAGCAGCAAAAGACCTCAGACAAAATAATCTGGAATGCCACAAGTCTGGTTCGAAACAATCTTACACAAGTAAATGCAGCCGTCATACTGCTCAGGATGGAGTTGTGTTCTGTCTCTTAGAGATGAACATACTTTGGTGCGTAAAGTCCAAATCAATCCCAGACGGACCTTGTGGGGATATTGGAGGAAACGGGTACTAAAGTATCTGGCTGTAATGACCATCATTATGTTTGGAGTAAAAAGGTTGAAGCTCACAACCCAAAGAACACCATCCGGACTGTGAACTTCACCGACTGACAGGTGTAGCAGAGTTAAGTTGAACTACCCTCCCCAAAGAGATGTCTGATAATGATTGTGGTGTTCCATGTGGTAGCGTGGCAGAGCGGTCTAAGGCGCTGGATTAAGACTCCAGTCTCTTTGGGGGCGTGGGTCCGAATCCCACCGCTGCCAAGATGTTTTTATTTAATTTTTTTCCCCAGCTGTAGTGTACTTTCTGAGAAGCTGGATCTTAAAGTGAACAGCATGTTGTCAATTGATTTCAAGTTCATCTTTGGAATCAAATGCTTTTCTTCAGAATTAAGAAATTCGGAAATAACGATAGATGATACACATGTCATGGGATGGTGTGGCTGCTTGGTCTAAGGCACTTTATTAAAGATTGAGTATGTAGTTCTGGAGAAATCCAATACCATGATGTAGAGCAAACAACGACACAGCTAGCAAGTGTTAGCAGCTAGCGTTATCTAGGTTGTGGGTTAGCAGACTGAAGCCAACATCACAACAAAAGCACGTCTTGACAAACTAAGCTGAATGTCAGTGGGCAAGTCATATAACATTACCTGACACACAAAACATTGTGAGGAGATATTTGCTGAATTTGACAAAGAGATTAGAATCGCTTTCCCTCCAGTCTCTAAAGGGAGTGTGGGTTTGAATCCCACAGCTGGTTATATTCTTGATGAATTTATTATTTATTTAGCTATAAAAAGTTAGAAATCCTGAAGTGTAGATTATAATTTCCCAGAGCCCAAGATGCAGATTGCTTGTTTTGTCTGACCAACAGCCCAAAAACCAAAACATCATATTAGACAACCAGTCAAGGCAGCTGGAACCAGACAGGGTTTCCCATTTTATCCAGTGATTTGTTATAAATAGTGATAGTTTTATAAACCATAGTTTTTTAATTGTTACAAATGTGAAATCAAACATAATCTTACTATATACACAATTGGCTAACTGTGAACAACTGTAATTTTTCTAATTTCTCTACTAGTAAATCATTTTCTTCCTCTTTTTCTCTCTGTTTCAGATGGATCCAATCCCTCCAGTGACTACTCAGAATTGTTCTCAGTGCCACCAACCAGTCTGGACGGAGGCAACGCTGAATACTTGAACCAAGCTGCCACTGAGCTAACAGCTGCAATGGAGAGGGAGAAGGAGGGAGAATTCAGTTCTGCCATTCATGGATACCGGACGGCGGTGGATATACTGATAACTGGAGTACAGGGTGAGAAGATGTATAAAGGGGTTTTGGAAGATGGGTTGGTGGAACGGGGGAGAAGGGAGGGGGACATGGTAAAACACCCAAAAACTGTGTGGTCTCTTTAGGTTATTCACAATCTTGCATCTGAGTATGCATGGTATGGTATTTTACATGAAAGCACTCTTTCATGTACATTTCTGCATGAAGCTTGACCCAGCTTTGTTGCTATAGTGACAGACCATGCACTCAGCTGCAAAATCTGCTAATTGCGTGATCATGCTCCATGTGAAAACAAGCTAGTGCATCAGCACAAATTATACTGTGCAATTAACTATGTGTCGTTGACCGTATTTAATCTGCGCTACATATTCTGACGTGCTACTCACACGCTACCTCACTGATGAATGCGTTGTACACAGCTGATACACGCATTAACTCAAGCGAGCAAATGGACACTGCACAGCAGAGCATGCGTGGGATGTCAGCATGTGCCCTCGATGTAAAGTCAACACTGCTATTTTGTTTTAGTATTGGCTGTCCTGCTGTAGCAAAGGTAAAGCGTGTGGCTCTGCCATTTAATAATTTACATGATTCATATATATTTTGGCAGAGTTAAGTTGACCCACCCTCCTCAAAGAGATGTCTGATAGTTGTTTAAATTTTTTTATTTATTTAAAAGGGACATCTTTTCAGCAATGTAAATATGCCAGAATTAGCCCAAAGGCTATTTTACATCTGTAGTCCCCCGTCAGGTCATCACAGTACAAGTTAACACAGCTAAACATTGAATTTGGATACGATACAACACAATTTAAGAGACGCCACAATTTTCAACAACATATTATAAAAGACACCACAGTTAGCAGAGAGGGATTATGTAATTTAAGGTGCTGTTTTATGCAGTTAGTTGTTTTTAAAAATCTTTTATTTGAAAGCACGTCAAATTTTACAATGTAAAAAGGAGCGGTGCCCCACACACAAACAACAGATAAACACCCACACACTGTGCTTGCTAAAATGACCCCATTAATAAAAAAACACACAAGTCCTGTTCATTGTGAGGTAGCGTGGCTGAGAGGTCTAAGGCGTTGGATCAAGGCTCCAGTCTCTTCGGAGGTGTGGGTTCAAATCCCACCACTGCCACGTGTGCTTTCAGAGGATGTGTGTCTTGGGTGAAAGTATTAATTCCCACCGCTGCCAGGGAAGCTTTTCACTCTCTGAAAGACAGAAAGTAAAGAATTATATACTGCTGAAAAAAATCAAATAAGGGAACACTTACTCATCACAGTGTAACATCAAGTCAATTAAACCATCTGTCCAGTTAGGAAGCATAATCTGTTGTGAAACTGGAGAGGTAACAGCAAGATAACACCCAAATAGGGAATGGTTCTGCAGGCGGTGGCCACAGACAGTTGCTCTCTCCTAATCCTTTCTGACTTATTCTCTAGTTTTATGTGTGTTTCGCTGGTGTCCTTGTCACTACTGGGAGCATGAGGCGGTACCTGCAGCCCATACAGGTTACACAGGTAGTCCAGCTCCTCCAGGATGGCACATCTATACGTGCTGTCGCAAGAAGGTTTACTGTGTCTCCCAGCACAGTCTGAAGAGCATGATGGAGATACCAGGAGATTGGTCGTTAAGCTGGATATGGCTGTAGAAGGGCATCAACCCAGCAGCAGGACCGTTATCTGCTCCTTTACACGAGGAGAAGCATTGCCAGAGCCCGACAACATGACCTCCAGTGGGCTACTGGTGTGCATGTTTCTGACCAAACTGTCAGAAACAGACTCCATGAGGGTGACATGAGGGCCAGACGTCCTCTACACATGCGTAGTGGAAGTATAACCGGTCGGGAGAAACGCTTTTTAAACCTTATTTTGAGGCAAAGTCTTCAAACCTTTTCGTTTTTTTATCAGATTTTATTGACTGGGTCCAGTCATGTAGTTTTTATGTCCCGGTGACCAGTAAAACTGCAGTTCTGTCTCTCTCCCCATTCGTTCAGATAGGAGCCTGGTCTTGTTAGTCCGAAATAGCTCCCCGGAGGTGTTGCCAAGATGGCTGCCAAGTGGCATGACTTGCCTATAAGGACTCTGTTGGCATTCACAGAGAACACCAGAATTGGCAGGTCCACCATTAGCACCCCGTTCTCTTATCAGATGAGAGCAGGTTCACACTGAGCACATGTGACAGGTGTCAAAGAGTCTGGGGACGCCGTGGCGAACTTAAAGCACCTACAATCATCAGAAGGTGCCAAATGAATTGCTTCAGCATGTTAGTCCATTCATGCAATTCTGAAAAGTCTAAATTCTATAAAGTCCAGACAGGATCAAAGTTTTCAGCTGTAATTCAATAAAATCGTAGATGTTGATGATGCTGTTCATTCATTCAGAGTCAGCATTATTGCCAGGTATGTGTATACATATGAGGAATATGACAATGTGCATTGCTCGCGATGTGCTTACTTATACAATAACACAATAATACAGTAATAAAATCAAACACAGGCTACATTATAGAGAACACACATATATACACACTGTAAACAAAACAGACAGATGGAGACAATAGTGCAATGAGCAGAGTACAAAGGATGCAGGAGAAAATTATTATTACCATTATTGCTATTATTATGTACATGTTGGAGGTGGATGTGACATACAGGTGCACATACAAGCATACATGTACACATGCATGCATTAATCAACCAAAGAATGAACCCTGTGTCTTCTGGTGTGCTGTCTACTAACTAACACAGGTATGTGTGTCTTCTGCTACTATGCTAACATGTGACAACCCTCTAACGGGTTATCTATGGTCCCTTTGTGCCTTCCCAGTGTCTGTGGGGTTTTTCACCTTGTCGAGATCTATTCTGGAAAGTTGTGAGGTAGCGTGGCCGAGCGGTCTAAGGCGCTGGATTAAGGCTCCAGTCTCTACGGAGGCGTGGGTTCAAATCCCACCGCTGCCAAGGGATTTTTACAGCAAGTGTGCTTTCAGAGGACGTGTGTCTTGTGTAAAAGGATTAATTGTGGATTTATGTTAAAGCATGTTGTTTGATCTTGTCATTTTCCAATTTCTGATTAGTGTTTCACTCCTGAAAATACTTTCAGTCGTGCAGTCTACATCCAGAAGTGCTGAGGAAACTGAGCGTTCTTTAGATTCATGAAGACATTTCGCCTCTCATTGAAAATACTTTCATACTTTCAAATGCAGTTCTTCTCAGTCTAAGGCACTGGACTAAAGCCCAAGTGTCTTTGGGGTTTGAGGTTAGAGGTTACCTTAGTGACATTTAATTGCTTACACTGTGTGGCCGAGCAGTCTAAGGTGCTCCAGTCTCTTTGGAGGTGTGGGTTCAAATCCCACTGCTGCCCCAGAGTATTTTTTCCTGAACACTTCAAATGATATAAAAAAGATTATATTGCAAACCTTCTTACGACGGCACGTATAGATTCCACAGCAGCACTACAAGGGGCCCAAATGCCATTACTGGACAATATTAATGAATATATCTTTCTATGTCTTTGTCTTTCTGTCTGTGTGTCTGTCTGTCCAGGTGATCCAGATCCAATTCGCAGGGAGTCTGTGGTGAGAAGGACAGCCCAGTATCTAAAGCACACGGAGATGTTGGTTGAAAGGCACTCCTCGCCCACACACACTCACACTCCTACACACACACATCCACAGGACCCTTAGATGCACACACACACACACACCGATTGCATACACTTTTAACACACGTGACAGATCTAAGGCAAACAAGCTCAGGGTTGTGACATACATACGCACACATACATGTCACACACTTAAAGACACTATGTTGGTACGCATACATAAAGTGAGATCACAGACTGGATTGGACAAGACCATTCAGAAACGCAAGCTCTTTCAGGTGCAAAACTACAACCCCAGCACACACACACACACACACACACACACACACACACACACACACATAGACACACACTTGTGAAGTACACTGCACAGTCCCTTTAGCTACCTTTGTTTTGTGAAAAAATCTGTGATTTACTAAATCAAGAGAATCTGGAAACTAAAAGTGACCTGCAAACCTAAAGGATAAATAATCCCTTCTCTTTCTTAAATATTTCTTTCCTTTTAAAATGTTTTCTTGTTAAATACAGTAATGAATATGTATATCAGCAATTTGCATTTTGCACAAACTGTGTATTTGTTAATAAATATGATTTTAATCAAAGTCAATAAGATATCTGTTTTCTTGGCTAAAAGCTTCGCAGGGGACAGGTAGTTTGCTGCAACAGTGTTCAGTAAGAATGTAACTGAAACTGCTGGGTTACATAACCAGATGGTCAACATAACAAGGTCACAAGGCCAGGATATTTTAGTAGGTCTAACCTCATTCATCAAAGTCAGAATCACTTACTCAACATCTACAAGGAATGCACGGGATTTGTTTTGATGACAAATGGTAACACCACTTATAGCGCAGGAGTCGCTGGTGCTAGAAAAGCTAGAAACTTCCAATTTCAGGCTGTTTGGCTGTAAAAACAACAGATTTGAAACTACACCTCTTCAGCATGCAAGTTTTATGTACATATATATGTATACACTAATGTAGTATTTTTTATCCTTTCATCATTTCAGAGGACTTTGTCCAATAATGTCGCTGTAGTTCAGTACACAATGGCTGCTCGTCCAATCGTTCTCATAGATTTTGGAGGTTTGAAGGTTTGCAGTAGCAAGGCTGTACCTCTCAGAGGCGCTGTTGGCTCTTAGATAATATTAATTACATATCTACTCGTGCAGAAGCTCCTCATTTCCTGTGTTCACCACCTATAAATTGCTATATCAGTATCAGTGTTTGCTTAGCGCTTACTGCAATAAGCTGCTGGACTGTCGAGGAAACTAGAACTTGCACCGCTGATGAACCCTGTAGTCTACAGTGCCACAGTGATCAAATGGGAAAACAACTGTGGCTAATTCTGTTTGTACTTATGTTAAATGTACTGTATGTACTGTAGCAAGTACCAAAAGAGAGCCCTCCAGTGCTGCAAAGTACACATTACTCATACCTCACATTGTTGGCTAAATAACATCTCTAACAGAGCTGCTGCTATCTTGTCTATGTGGCCACATTGCACATGCTATTTATTGTCCACCAGTTTGTATGCATGCTAATTCCCTGTCCTCCTTCCATGAACAATGCTAATCTGGTTAAATAATAATAATAATTGTTAGAAGATGAGTTAAAATTGTAACAGATAGTATTTTTTGATTGATAACATCTAGTATACATTATTCCCGACCATATTCTGTTAAGAAACACTTATTTCATGCGTTTTGTTAACTATTCACCTTGGGAGGGATTCAATTTCTGTTTTGAATGATATCTTAAAGAAACAGACTAACCTTCTTTTTCAGGTTAAATTTTGGTATTTTGCGACAAACGAGGAGAGGGGCTGATTGAAAGAAAAAAAAGAGGAGGAATTGGGATGCAAAAGAGAGGGAAAAGAGGAAAGAGATCAGCGCCATACAGCAGAATCCCTTCTCTGGAGAGGAGAGGGGGATGAGGAGAGGGCTGGAAGGACAAACAGATGGAGAGGTGACAAAAAAGGGAGGCCGGCGAGAGGAAAAGGCTACCCTTTCTCTCACCAGATGAGGAAAAAGAGGGGTTGCGGGGAGCGAGAGATAACAGACATGATGGAGGAGAGGAAAAAAGAAGGGTTGTGATTAGAGGATAAGCAGAGATCATCCCTCCATTGTTGAAGGGCTGGAAAAACTGACCCTCCCTCTTCCTATATTTTCATCCCCCCCCCCGCACACACACCGTACGTCTTTTTTTCGGTTGCATGCTTTGTTTTGAGCATTGTGGGGAGCTTGAAGAGGATGGAGGGATGGCAGAGAAAGCTAGAGATAACATTACTCCATCCTGTGGTTCATCCCTCTTTTCCTCTCATCTCTCCACCTCTCTACCTTTCTGTCCATCTTTCCCTCTCTCTAGTGCTGCACCTGTGAAACGCAGAGGATGTGAGATAGAGGAAAGATGGAGAGACAAAGAGATGGATGGAGGGCGGGAGGGAGGGATGGAATCAGAGGAGGGGGTAGAGCCTCGCAACATTAGCATGCTGAGAGTGTCGGCACTCTCCTCTTTTTCTCTCTTTCCCTCCATCCCCATCTCTCTTTCCATCCCTCCCTCTGTCTCTTTCTCCTCACTGGTCACTGCAATTATACCATCAAAACACTCCAGCCTGAGAGCATAATAGCTTCCCCCTCTGTGTGTGTGTTATCATGAGAGATCAAAAGAAAGAGATGTGTGTGTGTGTTTGTGTATGTGTGCGTGCGTGCGTGCATAATTTAGTGGCATACATGGTGCATTACATGTGCATGTATGACATGAAGGGCAGCTGTTGGTGTGTGAGTGTGTATGCTAAAAACTGGATTTGCAGCATATGAGTGTGTGTGTGTGTGTGTGTGTGTGTGCAAGTATCCTTTGAGTCCTACCGGCTAGAAAAACTGCTTCTCCAACCTCTGACCAAACACACTCTTAAACGCATGCTAAGAGACCCACTTTACATGTGTGTCTAGTGAGTTTTATATTTACACACACACACTCTAATGGATGCACACAGGCATACAGTGATGGCTTTGAGACACAAACCGTTATGACCTACATGCCCAGTGGGTCATCATTAAGCCAAACAGCACACTCTGACACCTTTGGCTGTCCACACACACGCACACACACACGCACGCACGCACGCACACACACACACACACACACACACACACACACACACACTCTCACTGTTTTTGTTTTTGTTCCCTCAACTTCCTCTATCCCTCTCCCCTTCCGCCCTCTGTCTCTTCCTTTTTCTCTCATTCTCTAACACACACAAGCACACACAATACCCCCTCTATGAGCTTGTTATCCCTCTCTGTCCGTTCGTTTCTCTCTGTCACCTTGCCCTGAGCTATTTGAGTACACTTCTGTCTCTCTCTCGCACTCCCATCTCTCTCACACACACAAACACACTCGTTCCCTTTCTGTCTGTCTGTCTTTCTGTCTCACCCTCGTGCTTTGTTCCAACTTGTCTCTCTCTTTCTGTTACTGTCAGTTTTGACATACCGGTATGTTATCTGTCTCTCGGTGTCTGTTTCACTTTAACTCGGAGCCTGATCGTTAGGTGCACAGTATCACCAAAAGCATCCCAAAGTAAATCCAACACCTCGTACAGTTTCAAAATTAAAGGGGCAACCCACCAGTTTTACACATGAAAGTTTACTCATCACAAGGAGTGCTACACAGCTCGTGCGTGAGACATACCACATGACCACATGACCTTCTCCCATTCTCCCTTCATCCCATTAATTATTTAAAAAGCATACAATGTGATTTTCTGGATTTTTGTTTTAGATTCCGTCTCTCACAGTTGAAGTGTACCTATGATAAAAATTACAGACCTCTACATGCTTTGTACGTAGGAAAACCTGCAAAATCAGCAGTGTATCAAATACTTGTTCTCCCCACTGTACATCCAGTCATGGGCATAAGGAGTGTGTAATGAAATATGCTATTGAATTGCATTATGGCAAATGTAGGATGCAGACCCATACTAGGGACTTAAAGACAGGATATATCAGCCTTTACTGCTTCGATTCTGGCCAGTGTATTTAAAATCTGTCTCTTGTGAGTCCCCAAACTTTTGTAAGGGAAGTACTAAACTATACTAAACTAACTTCTTCTTAATTTATTTAAACACAGAGCCAACAATATGAGTGTTTCATTAGTCTTGCCTGTCAGTTAGGAGAACAGGTCAAAACAAGGGCAATATAGGGAATGTGATCTCCACTGATATTATTGTGTGGTGAAGCAATCACATTTCACACACAATCTACATAATTATATATAGTTATTTAATGTAATTCAGAATGGATCTCAAAGAAGATAAAGGACATTACTATGATGTATATTTAAGGTTGAAAATTTAATCTAAAATGTGGACTATTAAAATTCCAAGATAGACCTGCAATAAAAATACATAAAATAAAAAACACAGAAAAAGTTTAGTTGCATTAATTGATTTATTTTGACCTTGTGGGAGCAAACAAATTTGGACTCATCCAAAATCCACTCTCCCTTTAGCTCTGTTTTGGTCTCCATCAACTCCTGGGGGAAATATTAGTCTCTTTACCAGCTAGTTGCTAACTTTGTCTGTTAGCTGTATGGTGCTGGGCAGGTAGCGTACAGTGGGTTCATCAGAGTTTTTTTTTTTTGCTGAAATCAGCTGCCCGCTGTGTTTGGGGATGAGAGGGGAGTTTGCCGCCTGGAAAACAATGAGCTCAGCTACTGAGTTGGTGATAATTCTCAGTGGATTCGTCACTATGAGCAACCACTTTCACATTACACATAGTCATTTGACACACTGTCAATATAAAAATATTGATTAATGCAGCTTTAAATTGGTCTTTATACTGCACATACCCCCTCGCTCTATGGTATGGCTCTGACTCTTTATCATGGCTGTCTCTCTCCCTCTTTCTCCCTTCCTCCCCTCTTTCTGCTTCTATCAGCTCCCTGCTTTTTCTACCCCCCCCTTCCCTCTTTCTCTCCCCATCACTCTCCCTGTAAGTAAATCAATGAACATACACTTTATGCCATCTATTGATCCTTTCATATCTATCCGTCCTCACTCTATCCGCTCCTGTTCTTGCCCTCTCTATTTCTCTATTTTTTACTCTTTCCCCCATCCCGTTTTTTCTGCTCCCCCCCTCCCTATGAATTTATAATCTCTCTCTTCCCCCTCTCTCTCTCTCTCTGTCAGTCCCTTTCTCTTTATATCTCTCGCTCTGGGACGTCCTATTTATATGGCTGGCACCTTCATGCTTGTACTGAAGTGTGTGTGTGTGTGTGCGTGTATGAGCGAGCGAGAGAGAGAGAGTGTTTGATGTTGGTCTAAGTGGTTAACATAATATGAGAGATGGTGTTCCCGCACTCACTCACACACACACACACACACACACACTCATGCACAATTTTGGGATTTTTTGGTAGGCTTTTCTGTGAACAATTTGTGCTTTTTAGTATTCTCTAGCTTGTGCAGCAGATCCATGTATTATCTATCAATTGCATTCTCCCACTCTGCCACTCACACAAACACACACCTTTGTGGCTCAACCACCTTCCTAGAATGACAAAACCCCAGTATTATCTTTTGTTATTTATTGTTGCAGATGGAGCAATCATTTTGTGACCTCGCTGTCTCTGGCCCTCCTCCCTCTGCATGTGTTTTTATTTATTCAGACCTCGCTCACTTTCTCTCTTCCCCGGCCTCTCCTCCTCTCTGCATTTTTATGTTTATTCAGACACATGTCCCTTTTTTCTCTCCGTCTCTCCTCTCGCTCTCCCCCTCTGGACCCGTGTGTCCAGCTTTTGTTAACAGCCTCGTTTCCATAACAACTGCGACCTTTCAGTCAGCACCTAACCATTTTTAATCAGAAGTAGAGAAAGACAGAGATGAGACAGACAGAGTGGTGGGGAGGTGGGGGGTTACCCAGGTGAGGTATAGGATGGATGTAAAAAAAAAGAAAGAAAAAGAAAAGATCATCACATCAGAATCAGAATAAACAGAGGAATGGAATATGGCACTGGTCTCTGGTGAAACCCTGTGAGCAGTTCTGAGGCGGGTTTCGATGGGCAACATTCCCAGCAACAGGTAACAAGTGCTGCTCAAGGTGAAGCATCTACTTAAATGTTTTCCCGGAAACCCAATGTTCCAAATGATTAAAGCAACAAAGCTGAATCATTACAGCTAGTTTAAAAAACACTTCACTAAAAATGTTTTGGTGCACCCTGACATAGATTGCTTTTTACCTTCATGTTGCAGCTGTCGAGGGGTTTATTCTAACATCCTGGTTATATTTTAATAAACATTTAAATGCTACAGACTATATTTTAAAGTCAGCAAAAGTTATGTTTAAATACATTTCATGGATCATCAAATATAGTTATTTAAACATATGACATACATAATATCACAAAATTTTCTATTTCCATACATTTTCTCATTTTTAATTTAAATAAAAGTGTTCTCTTTATGTTGTAACAGATTTGGTTTGGAATCAGAATGAGTTTACTGTAATTACCTTACCTTACCTTCACACTGTGTTGAAAAGTGGTGGGGACATTTGAGTGGGGACATTAAACACTTAATTTCCTGCATTCTAATGAGACATTTTCTGCACCAATTTATGGAGGAAATGTCTTTATTTATACGAAATTAAGGTGGCAGGTGACAATTCAGAATGTAAAAATATAATATAATATATTATAGATGTTTCTTCTACCCCGCGAGCCGACCCCGGATAAGCGGATGAAAATGGATGGATGGATGTTTCTTCTATATTTACATTGCATTGCAGGTTTTCTTATTGTGCCAATAAACCTTTCTTATAGCATTCATTTGTTAATTTACATTTCTTTGTGCAAGTTTTGTTTTTAGAACATTTTAAACCAATGCATTCTAAAAGTGATGGGGACATGTCCCCATGCATCCCCAGTGTAAATGACACCTATGCTTACCTTAATTCTGAGTGAACATTTTAAAGGCTGACATTGTAACAAACAAGATAATTGTCAGTTCTGTGTGGGTTTCCAAAGAAAAATTCCTGTGGTGAGATAAAACTGTTAATGAATGACCACCTCACTTTGAATGGTGAAAATAACCTTTGCATTAGGTGAGAATGTGCTGCTAAAAGTCTGTGGCTCCACAATTGTAATGCAGCTTCAACATTACAGACTTTGTCTTTTAGAAATGCTCCTCAGTCTGGCTTAAGGTAGCCTTTCTTATAGACTATCATAAACGATCACAAAAGATGCCCAATTGCAATAATTTGAAAGCAGTAAGTTTTGACAATTTTGTATGTGTGTGCGCACACACACACTGGGGGTCGTGCCAACATGGGAGGGACCGGACCGTCAAGTGGCCAGCTCTCGAGCCCACCCGCCCACCCGCCCACCGCGCGCCACTCCACACCGGCAGCAGCGCGTGAGGATGATGCCAGCCAGAGATAGATGGACAGATGACGAGGGAGGGAAAAAACCTGCACAGTGACACAAGTAGAGTAAAGAGGAGGCGGTTGATGAGTGAGAGCAGAACTGAGAGAGTTACGGAACAAAGGACAAATAAAGAGGAAAGGGGAACTGGAAATATCCCGATACGCGCTGCTGGCTGGTTTCTTTCTGCCCGCACCGATGTCCGAGGCCCGCCCGGTGCCAGCTGAAGACAGTTGACCGAAGCAGAGCGCACAGGACCCGGCCACTGGAGTGGAAGGCTTCGGGGAGCGGACACCGCTGGAGCTCTTCTTCGTGACTGAGAGTGAGTTAATTTTGAAACTTCACAACATAATGTTAGAAACTGTCCACGTTCAATAAGCCACGAGGGCCGTGTCTGCTCGGACTGTTTATTTTGTCTTTCATACTGCGACATTAGTCCACTGCTGCCAATTAGTCACAGGACGCACCACGGGCGCGCGCGCACACAAACTGACAGCTCGTGCGTCAGAATGGCCAAAGCGGATTCCTCTCGCGTGGCAGAACCGGCAGATGTTGCCACGCGGAGGCTTCAAACATAAGCTTCAAACATTACATAAATTATTCAAAGTAACGGTATTTCCACCAGCATAGACAGACAGCTAGACAGATAGATAGATAGATGAAACATTATAGCCTAGGCTTTAGGCAACATATATGACATATAATCAAAAAGTAGGATTTAAAAAAAGCTAGCTTGTGTAGGTATATGTCCAGACAAATAAAAACAAAACTAACTGACCCAAATATGTCCTCTTAATAAATCTATTTGAGATACTGTAGGCCTACAGTATTTGAGTATTTGAGATATTGCAGCAGTCCAAGAGTACCCTTCTTAAGTCTAATCTAGTGGTTAATAGCTTTCATTTTCATTGCTCAGTGTTCATATTTTGTGCAGCTTTTCGATGGCTTTGAAAAGCTAATCTGTCCCTGATATAAGCGCATTGGCTGGCTTGCCATCTGGGCTGTATAATAGTAGAGAGGAGAGGGCATTTGAATAATTGATATTTAGCTATTTATAGTAGGATTATTCTCTTCATGTTGCACTGGGGGACTATCTATCTATCTATGTATCTATAAATGTATCTATCTATCTATCTTGTAACAATTTTTAATTCTGACCATTGACAATCAAGTAGCTCCATTTGCCTAAAATTTAAAATACTGTGTGTTCACATTTTTTTCTACCTACTGTACCTCTTTTAGTCTGTCCTTATATCTGTCCATTTATCATCCATCCATCTTTCTGTTCGGTGAGTGGTAGTGTATCCATCTGAAGTGGATTAGGGGTGTTATCAAAGCTAAGTAGGACGACTGTTCACACACACTCTTGCATATGTACACACTCACACACATACACACAAACACGTACATACATGCTACTCTCACTCCATTTCACTCCCCAAGGACCATTGACCATTGTTAGCCCTCTCTCAAGCCTCTTTCGCTTTTGTGCGAATGTGTATGTGTGTTTGACGGTAAACACTCTGATCAAACAGGGCTTAACAAGCTGCCTGAACTGATAACAGAGAGAGGAGAGGAAGAGAGGATGAGAGAGGAAGGAAAAAGGGGAAAGGGGCGTCGCGAGGGAGAGGAGGTTACATACTGAAAAGCATGGGGATGTGTGTTTTTGATCTTGCTTAAATAGTGCGATGTTATTCCTATAAGCCTAGAATTCACTATTCTACATTTTACGAGCGTTTCCAGGTATTGTAGGCAGGCCGTGCTGAATTTGGTTAAAAAAAAATACCTGCTCTCTTTTAAGTATACCAAATTTTCCTGCTAGGCCTGTAAAAATATTTTCCAGTAAAACTGCTCAGTAGTATTTTAGCACTGTTTTGTTATTGTGCTCCACGTCCAAACATCTGCCTCCATATTGTCACATATATTTTAATGACGTTTGTGCTTTCTTAGACAGCCCACAGTTGGGAGAAACAGGAAAGATAGTGTGAAGAGAGGTGGGTGAGATGTGACGAAGATCATGAGCCAGATGTTAACCTACTGCACCACCGGCACGTAGCCTCGTCCCTAGTCGGACTGACACCCTCTTTATTTCTGTCTTCCACGGGGTTTTGGTCATTTGTGCAGTGAGCTGTTTCTTCCTTTGACATGAACAGTATGGAGGAGAATATCAACCCTTTGAATAACTATTTTGGGGAATTCATCTTAGCCAACCATACTCTCTCCAAAACTGTCAACAATGTGTGCTTATATTTTACAGCCCTATGCAAGAAAATTGCATCTCATTCATATTACATTTAAAGTGGAAGCAGCTGTGTCCTGTGATAGACCGGTGACCTGAGTTGCTGTTCAGGTAAGCAGAAGTCATGTGCCTGTCATGTCATGATTTGCATCTATTCATCTGTCAACATGGTGTGAAAAAAGAGTTCACAGAATGGACTATGGATTATGCAGAGTATCTGGGACAATATTATTAGAATGACACATATACATTGATTTTTTAAAATGTTATTTTTAAGAGCTTTGAGAACCACAAACAAAATTCCATTCACCTCCATTGTATTGGGAGGAGGCAGAAACCTTAGGCATACAGTACATGTCAAATAAAACCAAAACTATCCACATGTCTATATAGGACTATAGGTATAAATGAGAAAATATACAAATTATTTTGTAATTTGGGCAAACCTACCCTTCAAGTAATCTAAAATGTGGTCTCTGGTTCACTCACTTCTTATACGAAACAACAAAAATATAAGCAGCAACAGTAATTCTGTATTTCTCTATCCTTCTGTGTCTCTCTCTCCAGCGATGGATTCCCCCAGAGATCTTTTCGATGACTCTGCTCCCCAGATACATGCGTTCGCTCCCACTCACAGCTCTACAGGCCTCCCTGGAGTTCATCCTCAACCCAGTGCAGGTCGCCCTCCTCCTGCCTTTAGACCACCCGGCTTCCCCCTCATCCACCACCTTCTCCAGCCAGGTGGAGCGCCCAGGAGGATTGGAGGGCAACTCAACACAAACCTGAGCACACACAGAAACCAGGAAGACAGAAGTTTGGAGGATGACAGGGGAGAGAGGGATGGACAGGTGGAGCAAGGGATGGAAGGAGGAGAAGAGGAAGTGATTGAGGGAGAGGATGGCTTGTTGGGGGTTAAGAAGAGGCACAGTGATGCCGTCCTCGCGGCCGAGTGGAGTCAAGACGTCTTGAAAGTGAAGAGGATGAAGCTGGAGAGCCGACCAAGAGATGGAGAGGCAGAGGAGGGAGACAGGAGGCGCGAGGGAGGGAGGGAGGGGAAGAGAAGAGAGAGGGAGGAGCTGAAGGAACAGCTGGAGGAGGCAAGAGAGAGACTGCAGGCCCTGCAGGAGAAAGTATGGAGGGCTTTTGGGGAAAAGCACATGGCGGAGGAAAAGAAGAAAATGAGGCGCCGAAGCAGAGGAGATGGAGGAGAAGGAGATGTGGGGATGGTGGAAGAGGAGGACCTCACAGAAGGGTTGTACAATGAAGAGGACATTGATGGAGGAGAGATGGAAAAGGAAACCTTCTCCCTTCTTTCTGTTTCCCCTTTTGACAACTTTCACAAACGAAGAGAAGAGAGGCAAAAAGACAGAGAAGGGAGGGCGGAGAGAGGAGGAGTAGGAGGGTTGCACTTGGAGGGCGTGATGGAGGGAGCGGGGTTGTGGTTGGATTGTGGGGGGCTCGTCAGAGGAGACTGGCATGGAGGGATTGAAGACGAGGGCGAGGAGGGAGGGCAGAAGTTTGCTCAGGCGCTGAAGCTGGAGTTGGGCAGCGCTGTGGCGCGAGTCATCGACCGGGTTCTCCGCCTTTACACCGAGATGACGGATTTCACTCCTTCCTCCCCTCCTGCCGCCATCTCTTTCCTCCCGTCTGACGTAGGAAACGATGGAGGGAGGGAGCGGGCCGTGTGGATGGGACTGCTAACGAGAGGAAGAGGGGAGGGAAAAACAGGAGGTAAGGAGGAAAAGACAGGGGCGCAGGATGGAGAAAGGGAGAAGCAGCTCCAAAAAGTGAGCAACGGGAGCGCCCGGCCTCCAGGACAGCCTCATCGCAGTGACCCATCAGATCTGACGATGCCATTGGCCTCTCAAAGGTCACCTGACATACGGAAAGCTCACGCACTCATTGGCCCACCTCTCTCTACTCACCTAAATCCCTCTCATCCGAACATCTCCCTCCATCACCCTTCTCTATCTCGCCCTCCCCCTCTTTCTCACCCTCCTCTCTTGCCTCCAGCCTCGCAACCCAAGGACCCCTCTGCCTCCTCCTTTCATCCATCCTCATCCTCCTCTTCTTCTTCCTCATCTTCCTTTCCTGCGCCTCCCCCTCCCCCTCCTCCTCCTCCCCCTCTCCCCCTCCCCCTCCTTCACTACTCCATGCAGCAGCTCTTCTCGCGCTCTCTTCACCACCCTCAGCTCCCCCACCTCCCCCCGACCCGCAAGGAATATTTGAACTCCGATCCTTTCTTGGAGTTCTCGTCCCACCCCTCGTCTCACCCCTCTTTCCCACCTCTCCCCTTGCTCGGTCACCTGGACCCCTCCCTTGCACGCCACGCACATGGAGGCCGAGAGAGGGAGAGGGGGATGAGGGGGGATGGGGGGATGAGAGGAGGGATGGACGGAGGAGAGCTCTACCTGACCGCTGGGGGAATATCCTTTTGTCAGCAGGGGGGGAGGAATGAGGGAGGGATATGTGTTTGTTTATGAGTGTGTGTAAAAGGACACATGTATCTCCTTAACTGGCCTCATGTATACACCCAGGAGGGCTTGTCTCCCTGCCATCTGAAGAAAGCCAAGCTCATGTTCTTCTACGCACGCTATCCCAGCTCCAATACACTCAAGACTTACTTCCCTGATGTCAAGGTGTGTGTACCCCATCACAGTGCTGCATCAACATTTTGTCCATTGCTGAACAACAAATGACTCCAAAGCCACGTTTTACCTTTTACTTACTCATTATTACAGAAGGCTAGTGATGCACACCTAGTGCGTTCCTCTTGGTTCAGTGTGCTGAGGTTAAGGGGAGGTCTATGGCTACATCCATTTTTAATAAAGCTTGATTTACAACAATATTTTCGACAACAATAAAATAATGACATATCAGCCAATGTTCATGTTTTACACATGTGACACTAACAGTGAAATTAAATTAACTGAAAGGTCTCAGTTATGACAAAAATATAGTTATTTTACTTCTTTTTTTCGTTTGTTTTTTATACAGTTTAACAATATACTATACTGGTTTCATTCACTGCAAAGGTTTTTAAAATCTTCATCTGCAAAGTAGCACTGACAATCTTTATACAGTCTATGGTGACAATAGCTAATGAAGCTAATGGAGTAAAAGTAGCACAACATTCAAATACTAAAATAAAGGAACTCAGAATTTTACTTGAGTAAATGTACTTAGTTTTACAGGTGCATCCCAAAATATAGAATATCAGGACAAGTTAATTTTCTACCTTAATGTAATAATATATAAAACTTTTATATATTTTCAGATATTCTAGATTCATTGCACATAAAGTGAAATATTTCAAGCCTTTTTTTGTGTTAATCTTGATGATTGCAGCTTACAGCTCACGGAAATCAAAACTCCTGCATCTCAAATTATTAGGATTTTAGATTAAAGCATTTATAACACAGAAATGTCGACCTGAGAAGAGCTCTAATCAGCTAATTACCTCAAAACACCTGCAAAGGTTTTCCTGAGCCTTTTAATCTCTCAATCTGGTTCTGGTACTCACAATGAACATTTCCACAATAAACCCGTTTTTTGAGATACACCTGCACTTTCAAGTGTTTCACAAGTGTTTCAAATATTTAAGGATAAGTTTGGATGCTGTTTTTCCTGGATTTAGGGTAGCAACGTATGACACCTACAATAGTCTGTGTTTAATGTAATTTTGTGGTCATTGGAGTATACTATTAGATGACTTTTTGCTAACACTTCAATGTTCCCTTAAAAGCAGTTTGGCCCGTACGGGGATCGAACCCGCGACCTTGGCGTTATTAGCACCACGCTCTAACCAACTGAGCTAACCGGCCATGTTGAAGGTGAAATAAGGTGGCCATTTAGTTGGGAGTCATTATGATATCAGCCTTCTATGTCATACGATGGACAGGCCTTCCATAACCAGCACTGACAAGCTCAATAAGCAATAGACCAAAGTGGAGGCAGTATTCCAGTCAGCGACCTGAACTGACTAAATCTGAGTTACTGTCCAATTAACATCAGTAGGGATTGTTTCCACATTTTATGGACCGTTTTGATTAAATGATGTTATGTGAAGAATCACCCAAATTCTGTCATTAAAGAGCTCTGATAAAAAATGTACTGAAGGATTTTATCTTACAGTTAAACTGCAGCAATTAATATTAGAAATGAAAGCAGTTGTAGATTGTACAATTTGAACAGTTTACTGGAAATACAATCATTTACAATCAATATAAATAATAAAAGACAAGCACAACAAAAATACATTGATCTAATGTGGTCATTTCTGTTTGAATATCTGTTGATATATCTGTAAGACGCCAATATTAGCTGATAATACTGGCCTGCAGACATTATCTTGATTTGTGGTGAAAGTCCCAAAGTTTGGCCAATGCACTCTTTGAAGTCAAGTTTCTTTTATATAATTATTAATGCTAAATGAAATGCTCTAATAAGCGCCCCTCTCTTGCTGTCCTCACCTGCTCACTTCCTGTCATGTTTTCCTGTGTCTAGTTTAACCGCTGTGTGACCTCCCAGATGATTAAATGGTTCAGTAACTTCAGAGAGTTCTTCTACATCCAGATGGAGCGCTTTGCACGACAGGCTGTCCGCGAGGCTCTCACCCGGTTGGTTTGAGTTGGCACTGGTTCATGTTAAACTCATTTGCTGCAAAACTTCCATTGTTTGACTAGATTTTATAGGAGCTAGCATGTTGGCAACTGATTTTTTTTACTGTCTGCTTTATGCATCAGATGCTGTGCATATGTTGGCCTGCATATTGAGTAGTTTATAGAAAGAAAGAATTACAAATTGCAGAGTGACATAACTTTGTTGCATCATGCCCCAGGCTTTCCTGTTTTATGCATCAGTGGGAAGTATTGTGGTTTCCTCCCTAACAGTCATTCATTTCAGTCAGTCAATTTTTAATTTGTATCTTATATATATTTTTTTATATTGCCTGGGATTTTGAATGGTTATGAGGTAGTCATGCTTGTGGCAAGAGGATATAGATAAATTTTGATCATTGTTGATTGGATTAAGTGTGAATTCACCACCACTACTACCACCAGCATAGGTACTGGATTAGTTTGACAATAGGAGTGTGTAAGTAATGTCTATTAATATTTCAGTCTGAGTGGTCAGAATTTGCCACAGTGCATGCAGTGTGCAAAATCAGGACTGTTGGGAATGAAAGAAACAGCACTTTAATTCTTTCTGAACATAATACAACACTAGAACAAATTTAGAAGGTGGATTGCCAAAACAAGTTGAAAGTAAATAATACAAACAAATAAGTGTCAGCTTCAGCATTGTCAGAATGAATTTTGATGAAATTAAAATGAGCCTGTTTGTCTCTCTGTGTATCTCAGGGAAGGTGCACCTCGTCTGGGCAGAGAGAGTCAGCTGCGAGTGGGCCGTGACACAGAGCTTTACCGCATACTGAACATGCACTACAATAAAAGTAACGTCTACCAGGTAAGGCGCGTATGTTTCTTTTCCACTGTAGCTATAGTTGTCAACTTGATAATATAATTTAAAATTTGTACAACTGTATTTAGTCCTTGGGTGGATGCTTTAATACTTTGTCAGTGCTGTCAGTGTAGTGAAAGCATGATGCTTTTATTTTTTCATAGATTGGGGACCTTGAGTATGATTAGCTCCAAGTGTTATTTGTACAAAAACAAGAGGACAGGAATAACATGGCCTTGGTTGCTCCAGTGCAGGTTGAGCTGCGCTTTGCCAGAGGAAGAGTCACATTTTCTCACACATGCCCATAGAATTTGTATAGACTTATTTTCTGGGTTACATTATGCAGATGTGCTGGGTTACATTGAACTAAATCATTATTGCAAATATTGTGTCTTAAATCTGTTAGACCATAAGTGGATTGAAGCTGAGCTAACCAGCCACATAGTGCAACATATGGGACGGAGCTCTTGCATTCTCATTAATCATGCATGGTTCATATTGATGAAACAAGAATGTGAAAATGGACCAACTGTCCATTAACAGTAATTTCCACAAAGGTTACCATCATCAGTTCTTTGTCCATTTTCTCTAAATCTCAAACATGGGTGTGACAATAAGCAAGGGATTTTACAACAAGTGAGTGTGCCACTGACAGACTTATCCGATTAGAAATAAATCAGATTTAAGCTAGTTAAGCTAAGCTAATTACACTCTTGGAGTGTAATCGTAAAACGAACAGGAGCATCTCACAGTTGCAGTTTCTTAACACAGTAACGAATATCCCAGAGTACCCCAAGCTTTTAGTACCTCAAAAGTGTTTTGGCCCGTACGGGGATCGAACCCGCGACCTTGGCGTTATTAGCACCACGCTCTAACCAACTGAGCTAACCGGCCTTCATTTTTAAAGTTACATGTTATTGCCCGACTCCTCCTCGGAACGGCGCCAAAGTTGTGACTTTATATAGATATATATATATGGCAGTAGAAGTAGCTGTGAGGATTTTCATATTTTATTGACACACACGTTATTCATTTGTGTTTTGTTTTCTTCTGCTCAGTTTCTCATTGTAACCTTCTTTCTTCTCATTATAATAATACGTTATATATTAGCAAGACAGATTTATGTTAAAATGACTTATTTTAACTTCACCTCAAGTTATAAGGAGAACAAAACGTTAAGTCAAAGCCTAAAAGAGAAGAGCCTATTCTGGAGAAATGAAAATGATGATTGATTTTATTAATAATATAATTATTTTTAGTTCATACTCTGAATGAGAAGGAGAATCTGTTTTAATGAGCAATATTAATGAGTACAATATGGCTTTGTCCTTAGTATGAATACCAGAAATTTTAAGTGAGTGAGGCTTTAAGAAGAAAATAATCTGAAGTAGTAGTGTTATATCTTATTTAACAGCTGTGGGGGGCAGAAGGCTGCATGGAAAGCACTAATGTACAGTGTCTGTGTGTATCTTACACAGGATTATTTTTAGTCATGGAAAAACTGTGATCAGAGCAACTCCCGTAGGGTAAATTAGTGCTTTTCTTGCTACAGTTTGAGACGTCACTTTGAAACAGGAGCAGCTACAAACTAACAGGAGAATCAAGGAAAACATCAGTGAGGCAGTGTCTGTATATTCCCAAAGAGATCCAATCAGGCAAAATAAACGAGTGGGTGCGCTATAGGTGTGTAAGAGCTTTAATAATAATAAGAATACTAATCTGTAACGTGACTTGTAATCTGCTTCCTACTTCCTACACACACTTCTATACTATAGACTACAGTGTCTTCTCTGGGCTTTGAAAAGACGTTTAAAGCCCTAATTCTATAGACCTTAAAATATTTTATCTTTTGACATTCATATTTCTGTCTGCAGGTCCCAGAGAGGTTTATCGAGGTATCAGAGGTGGCTCTGAGGGAGTTTTACTCAGCCATTTGGACTGGGAGAGACAGCGACCCCTGCTGGAAGAAAGGGATATATAAAATAATCTGTAAACTTGACAGTCCTGTACCAGATGCCTTCAGACTGCCTGGTTGTCCTGTTGGCTGATGATCGGAAACTGCTTTCATCTGGTACATGAATACAAATGCACAAATGCATGCATAAAAACATAACCTTACTGAAAGTGGGGAATTTTATTAAAGCATTCACAAACTGTATAATACCACACGGTGAGGACTGAACGTGTGAGAAAATCCATTCAATTCTACAGTTCGGTTCATTCATAATTCATTCATTTTGGAAAAAAGATATTATCATTTAAGATGATAAAAAGGATTTTGCCTGACATCGTGTGCAGGGAAATACATGTACGTGCTTAAATAGACAGAGCCACGCTGGGTCAATACACTCAGTGCTGTGATAAGAGTCTTGTGACTGCACTTATCAAGCAAGGCAACCATACCATTGAATTAAAATGGACATAACAGGAATTTCAAAACATTCTTCACCAGTCAGTTGAGCAGGCATGCAAATGTGCGTAGCTGCTGCGTGGTGTGTTACCATGAGATGGCTACTATTTTAGATTGGTCGTCAGATGAATATATAGTATGCAGCCCCCTGGCAGCCCCTTGTATATTATTGCAATCCACAAAAAAGCATCATTCTAGACATCAAATGTAGTACTGACAACTGTTTACCAAGCATGGGCACTGTACAAATTCATGTTTCAAATACTTTCAGACAAAGAGTCCACAACCTGAGTACATACCAGGTTTCTCAGATTAGGTTCCCCAGCTTCCTGATTACTAGTTTTAGAGAACGTAATCGTTAGCAATCTTGCACAAACAGCACCTCACTATCACACACCCAAACATTTCAGTGCTGCTGTCCCTCAGGGGTGTTCACAGTTTTACAGTAGAGACTCGTTAAAACATCAAATATGATTGTTGTTTGCTAGAAATAAACTGTTATTGTTGCCTTGTGCGTGGGTGTCTGAAGTGTGTGAGTGTCAGAAGTACCTTTTTTGTTCAGTGTGCCCCACAGCTTTTCCATTTTAGATACAGATATTTTACCATGGCTGTGTGTGGATGCTTTCCTTTTTTATCCTGCTCCAACAACACCAGGCTGTCGTGTTTGCTTCATCTGAAGGTGGTTTTTGTTTCCACTAGAGAAATCAGGCTTTGTTTAAAGAAAAGGACCAAATGTAATTATTATTACATTATATATTGAAACTCTTAATTTTAAGATTAAAAAAATAAAAGTTGCCCTTGTTTTTTGGGAACTGCCAGCAGTGGTTTCAGTGGATTTATTTTGCGTGTATATCCATCTCTTTGTTTAATATTAAATTATTACAGAGCTTTTGTACATGATGGCACAATGTAATCAAAATGTAATTAAAATACTGCCAAAAGGGACAATATATTGAATTCAAAATAGTAAAATGAATGTTTTGTTGTTTCCTTGATGTATTCTTACTGTTGAGATATTCACTTTTGTTTTTGTATTCCTTTAAATGTATTCTGCTAAATTAAATAGGCCGGTTTCACAACTAGTATATAAATCGACATTTGTTTCCCAAAGGTATTGCGAAAACTTTCACTCTGTTTGCTGTATATCATGAAACTTGGGTTTCTGTTCATTAAAACGTTGCTCGACTGCTCCAGATTGAGGCCTCCTCTGGCTTAATCACCACTCTGTGAGGCCCGAGCCCATATGTAAACTATTTGTGACGTGTTTGTTTTCAAGTGCATGTTTTCCTATATCTACATTACATTTTTAAACTGTAATCTCTTATGTTTCTCTCATTGCTTTTATTGGTCTCTCTTTTATATTATACTCTTTTATATAGTACATATTGTATGCTTTTAGATCTGTGCCTCATTCAAACTTTGGTGAATTTTGATGTTTAAACTTATCAGTGAATTAAAGTGATACCAGGCTTGTGTTGTGCTGTCTGAATTCACAACACACACACACACACACACACACAAATAAAACACACAAGCTCTCTGGTGATCAGGTCCCGGTAGCCTGATGCCAGCATACTTTAAGCCTTTAATCTAACAACATGACCGCACTAAAACACACACATACACACATTCTCACTGACACTAACACTTGGATGTTGGCTTTGTAATAGGCTCAGTCCTGGACTAGGTCTAGCCACCTGAGACAGCAGCACACACACACACACACACAAACACAGTATCTATATTCAATGTATCCAAACCACATTTTTTTAATAAGAAGCCAGAGAATGGCTCTTATAACAATGGATCTGTTGAAGCCTAGATGCACTGCACAGTGTTTTTTTAAATTGACATTTTGAATGAAGAGGTTGCACTTAGTCACAACAGACACAGAACACACACACACAAATACAAATGTTCCCTGACTAGCTTATTTTTGGACCATCTTTGTCAACATTTCAGAGTTTACCATGTCAGAGTTCAGCCATTCACAAGCAACACAATGTTCTAGCTTTTATTAGCTGGTGTCTATTCATGAATTATGTTCAGATCTGTAAACGCTTTGTGACACCAATTCAGTATTAAGGCTGTTAATTTCAAATTAAATGGCCTCTTTGAATGTTGTTGCGGCATCACTTTGTGCTCCCCTTTAGACAAATCAATCAGGGCTGTGGAAATGCACCACAACAAGAATGTTTTCATACATTTCCACACTTTTCAAATGTCACATTTAGTTTCACTTCTGTTCGTTCCTTATAAGTCTGGTGTATATCCATCAATCCATTTACCCTCTGCTACATACTGTATTTTACCTCTATGATTTCTTCTTATAATGTGTTTAATATAATGTGTGTGCATATAAATATATACCTCTCCCTAACCCTAACTACAGACTGTGTACAGCCTACTTGTAAACAAACTCCCCTGGAAGCTAACAGTAGTGATTTTCAAAGTAATGCAAACTTTTTTTCATAACATGACAAGTCTCTATATTGAAAGCAAAAATTAAAAAAATACTTTATATAGGCCTACTGCTGATGCATTTGTGCAACATAAGGTTTTATAAATTTCTTATGCAAACTTAAATGATGTAACACATTCCCTGTGCATTTGGATATGTGTCAGGAAGGAGTATTTCTTTACAGACTTTTGTGTGACATATATCAAAGTAGTATGCCGGTCATATGACATAAGTCACAAGGTTTGATTAAGCATTCTGGGAATGAAGTGCTACTTTCAGCCATCAAACACACACACTGGCCAGCATATAATACCAGGATGACATGCCTCATGTGGTTCAACCTTTGACTATAGCCGCCTGATCTGAGTGTACTGACTGGGAGGCAACACACATACTACATGTGATGTTCTGAAATATGCATTTTGCACAACACTGCCACTCCAGTAGTCAACAGGCTACCTTCTGATGAGCATCAACACACTGCAGTAGTGCATCATCGTGGATTAAAGGATTTACACTGTAAATGTTATAGACTACTTAAATTAAAAGCTGATTCATCATCCATCCATTATTCCTTCTGGCTGCTTCCCACAGCTTTTTTGTTAATCTTTCTGGGTCATCAGTTGAAACCAGCTCCTGGCCCGAAGAAAATTGGTCTGTATTACGACCAGTGTTGAGGTTCATGAACTCATCAGTGTGACAAATAAACGATTTTTTACGCATTCACAAGCGGACGTGCATATCTGTCTCTCATAGCTAAAGAGAAGCAGTGGCTTGTTGAAACTAAATAACTGGAGGGAATCTTAAGAGCAGGGCTGTCGCATCGGGCCACTAACACCTCCGAGTGAGGACCGGGTGAGGTCGACAAAAACGGCCAAAATAACGCCGGAAATCAAGGAGTCGTATCGCCAACATTTAAGCGTGGCATTTGTTACATCGCGTAAAGAAGAGGTGGGTGAGTTGTGGGGAGCGTGATGGTTTCATCCGGCTTTATTGGCAGAATTGTAAATTGTGATTTTGCAACATATGATAAGTTTTAAGAGATATTTCTTGAGTTTTTGTTTTCCCTTTTGTTTTGCTTTCTCGTCCAACGGCTCTTCAAAGACTTTCAGTTAAGCAGTGATACAAGAGAAGCTTGTTTTAAAATGGTTTAAAATAAACATTTAAATCAACTGTAGGCCATTAGATTATTTTCTGCCTTTACTGTGACAATTTCATCGGATTTCTAAATTGATTTATGCATTTGTCCTTCACACTGGACTGCCCTGTTTCTGCTATGCGCAATTCAATACATGCTAATTATTGTAACCTTGCAACAAATCAATTACTGTTATGACTGTGCGCTTCGTCTAGGATTTTATTTTGAAGCACTTTACCGGAAGCTTTGTGTCTTTTTGTGGCTGCCTTTATGCTGGTCTCTTCCCAGACAGCTGGAACCGGACCGCTGGACGATGGCGTTGACGGTGCTGCTGCTGGTGGAGTTGGGTCTGTACGCCAGCTGTTTCGTCTGTGGGATTGTCACCGCCGCATCCATCACCATAGTCCAGGTGACTTTACTCAGTAAAAAAAAAAAATACTTGCCTTATCCATGCTTCTGCTATCGCCATCCTCTTCCGGGTAGACTCACTTTTTATCAGTGCGTGTGTGTCTGTGCTAGAAAGTTTCAAGTTCACCAAAGAAACAGCCAAAACGAAACACCATTTCAGACCTTGTAGGTTTTTGTGGCACTTATTTGTACTTAATTATATATATAATCTCCTTTTAACTCCATGTGCGTAGTCTGCCCCGAAGTGGGTTTTATGGCAGGCTACTTTTTTGTCAAAACAAATTTGTTTATGGCTTATTAAACTTTCGCATATTAAAGAGAAATAACTGATTTTATAAAGCAGTATATTTTTCTAGATGTTACGTATTTTAATAGGTATACGTAACATTATTTGTCGAAAGCAGGGCGCGAGTAGGCTAAGCCACGCGCTTTCACTTTCTTCTGATTTCCTGTTGGTTGCGAGTGTTGTTGCCAGTTTCTGATAGCCTAATGACACGGGTAATTAAGTTACCTGTGTTATTAGGCCAATACATCTCAGTGCATTGTATCATTCAGCAGGGCCGTTACGTGTGCGGGAGTCACCATCACTAAATGCCCGTTCCTTTCCGCTTTGCGCTCATTTTACGCCCGTGAAAATAACATTTATTTTGAAGCTTAAAATCCCTTTAACATAACTCTGTCTCGCCTTAACTAACCGGGAATGTGTCAGCGTGTGAAAATGCGCGTGAATGTGGATGTGCGTGCGCGCGAGGGTCATGTGTCCAAAAACTTGTTGGCGTCATGTGACCAGATGTTCCTCGTGCCCAATTATTCCCTCGTTTCGTTAGAAAAGTCAGATGCTGCAGTTTGTGTGTTTGTGCTTATGTGTTTTCTCCGCAGCTTATTTCACACATTAATTGTATGAAACACTGTGTGTATGAAACAACACATAACACTGTAACAAAAAGAAGGTTATCGAAACAGTTTAACAAAACTGAATTTTCAAAATAAACTTGCACATTTCTCTGCCTGTCTCTTCCCTCAGGGTAATTTTGGAGGTCGGTGTATTCTATATGGACTTGTCGACTACAATGCAACAATGAGCCTCATTGGCCTGCAGTCATCCAGCTCCTCCTCTCTGTGCTATTTTGTGTCGGCCATATCAGTCATGGCAGCGGTGGTGTGTTTCTCGCTGTCTCTGTACTTGCTGTACTCTTTCTGCATTGACGGGGAAATCAAAAGGTAATGGCTGATGTGTTTGTGTGTGTCATCATGAACCACTGCCATTCACTGCAAACATTTTGTGCGTGTTCTTTAGTCTTTTTGTTTGTTTGTTGTTTTATTTGCTGTTTTCCCTTTTGGAATCCTTTAAGTCATCATTTTATTGCCCAGCGTTTAAAATGGGCTGTCGACCGAGTTTGACGAATACTGGCTGTAACTGCAGCTTAAAGCTTCCAAACCCAAATCAAACAGTACTGTGTTTATGTGCTGGGTGATATTTGACTTAAAGGGAACACAATGTGCTGCCAACACAGGTCTGGTCTTAAATTATTACTTTGTAATCTTCTTATTCAGCCACATGGAAGCACATTTTAGGCAGCTGTTAGACAACTTAAATGTAATTATTTAACTAGGATTTAACAGATATCATTGTTTGAAGGCTGACGTTTTGATTGAAAATAATATAAAAAGCTAAAATGTATCGATCACACACAGGAAGATATAAGATGATACAAGCTGACATTAAGTATCAATGTTTCTACTCAAAACAGCATAGTCAGTTTGATGTGTTGAAGCTGCAGATATCCCATACAGCTTACCATTTTAGCCACCACATGCATTTTGTTACAAATGCATGGACACGCAGCAGCACAAAAAAGCTTTGTAGCTTGGCAAAACTATCAATAAAAACAATAAAAATACAGTTGGACTTAAATAAGCATATATTGTTAAAAACGTACATTGATCAATGCAATGTAAACCTCTAATCCAGAACTGTATTCTTGTTTCCTTAAGGGCAGGTTTAGCAGAATGGGTTCCTTATTTTTACTTCACGTTTTACAGACTTTAACAGTACAGGCTGCAGGACTGATCAAAAAGAGGACACGCCTTGCTAACATGGTCATTCAGTAGTATTGACATAATTTCCAAATTTGTTCAGAGGTTGAAATAACACATTATTCTTCTATTTGTCTTTGCCATCGCTTTAAAAAAAAAGCTTACAGCCGTTCCCACACTCTTTCTGTTTATTCTGTCCTCCACAGGGGTCGCATATGGATGAACCTGACCGTGGCAGTGTGTGGCGCCTTCCTGTTCTTCCTGCTCATCACAGGGTGCATGTTGAAGATCGGACGCGACTCTCTCTGCAGCTCTGTCCTACAAGCCGTTTCCAACGTTACCAGGTGGCGCCGGCACACACACAGACACACACACACAGGCATGCACAGGCACCTCCACAAAAAACCAAAACCTCTCACAAACTATGAGAAATGAAACTAAAAACAACATTTGAAACCCAGTGAGCTTTACTTCATGTTTTTTGGTGTCCTACTTTCTCCAAACATATGATTTTTAGCTTCATTTACAGCTATTAAAAAACACATAGCCTTTGAGTTGTTCTGTCATTGAAAGCTCCACTTTCTTTTCCCTTGGCAGATGAAACATTTAATTTCTTTCTGTGCCTCTAATCATGTTGCACTGGCCCCATGACTGGCCTCCTTTTAAGATGTCTCTTTCTTCTAAAATATTTCATCAGCGCTGTGTAAACTGAAAGACGGAGAAGCAGAGAAGGAAAGACCCGTAAAATGTCCACTAATCCACAAACATGTTGTCTGTTTAAACACTGGCTTGTCGTCGTTCCGCCTCTGAAAAAAATCAGCGGCGGCTGCTTTGTTCATAGACTCGGGGAATTTTGGCAGCTAAAATATCTATTGTTAACTAGAACCCGACTGATAAATCGACATGCCGATATGAGCTAATTGCATATAAATGACAATTAAAAAAGAAACAGATCCTTCGGTCATGTTACGAGTGTTGTCGTTGCATAGTTTGCTCCACCTCTGTTTGCACCAGAAACAACAGTTACATATTATCCAAAGCGACTTTGGATACCTATACATGCTATGGATAGGTCATAGTCGGGGATTGAACCCAGGTCTCTCCCACCAAAGGCATGTATCTTATCCATTGCACCATCGCAAAAAAAAAGTCAGTTTTTGAACTCCATTATGTCATGTTATCTTAGTGAGGTCTCATAACTACACATAACAAATGTTAGGGATAATCTGTGTTTATGTTATGTGTTTCTGAAAATGTAAAATGTAAAATGTAAAAAAAGGATTACTGGCCAATACATCGGAATATCCAAATCAGTACCAGTCTTCCTGTATTGGTCTGGCTCTAGTGTTAACAATTGCTGGGACACAATAGATGGGTTGAAACTTGATTATCTATTTTCTGTCAACTTTCTAACATGCAGTCTGTTTCTGCCTCTCAAGATGTGAGGATGCCCAGACTAAAAATTGGGTCAGTCCACTCAAAGGAGGAAGATTCTACGACAATCTACATAAAGCCGAGGTCAGTAGGCTTCATTCAGTTTGTATTATATTATGTCTAGGATCACATGGGTACAATAACCAGTTCTCATAACTCTTGTTGACCAACTTGCCGAAGCCTCCTCCACTGCTTGTTTGGGTGGTAATTTGCAGGCTGATGAACATCCCACCCCTCCTGTGACTCATGGTTTGACTGTATGTGTATTCAGAGCCAGTGAGCAACAGACTTTCAAAATAAGAAATAATAATGCTATATATATATATATATAAGCTGTACACTCACTACTTTACATTGTAGCAAAGTCTCATTTCTTCAGTGTTGTCACATGAAGAGATACAATCAAAAATTTACAAAAATGTGAGGGGTGTACTCACTTTTGTGAGATACTGTATATCCCAGATTTAATAACCATGGCACATACATTTAGACAGTTTTAGTTGGTTGAAGTTGCAATGTGGCCATGCTTAAGTTAATCATTCCTTCATTTTCATAATTATAAACGTTTCTTAACATTCGCAGGAATAAGAGGTTTTAATAGAAAAGTGACCTGAAGGCTGAAGATGTGTGAATGAATTGAAACAGCTCCTAAAGCTGCTTATATAGAGCAACAGATTCGGTCAGGATTACTGTTAATTCTGTAAATAGCTATAAAGAACCATTAGTGCTTCAAAGTGCATAGGTAAGAGCATATATGTGGAGGATACGTCCATCACTGACTGTTCAAATGAAAGAGCTTCATATCCATCTTGTGTGTCGTCTCTCCCCGTGACTCCCTCTCAGACGGCAGTGTGGGTCAGTTTCTTCTTCTGGCTCATCATCGGGGTTCTGGTGATCATTCAGAGGCGTCAGAGTTTGGGGTCGAAGACGCCTGCAGGAGGGCTCTTCAGTGATCCAGGGGTGACGGCTGCAGAGACGGAGCCATTTTTCAACAATCCGGCAAGGCCACAGTGAAGACTGGTGTCACAGACGTCTCACAAAAACACCATACTTTTACACAGCATGATAATTTGGGAGTAGATGTAGAAAACGGGTAAAAACTTTTAACATACAGTGCCTTGTATTTCAGGTATTCCAATGAATAATCACATATCTCATGAGATAATACATGAAACAAACAAGTAATTTGTGATTAAGCCTTTTTTTTTTTTTACGAAACATAGAAACAAAAAGTCTCGACGAGGATGGGATTCGAACCCACGCGTGCAGAGCACAATGGATTAGCAGTCCATCGCCTTAACCACTCGGCCACCTCGTCAGGGTGACAGAGAGCCTTAAAACAAACAACCCTGCAGAGCTGCTTAGAGGCCACAGCAGACTGACCGGACATATACATTTACCCTTTTCCCACATTTACTTACATACCAAAGCTGTTATAGAAGTCTGACCACTGGATCTTGCAGAAATATGTATTTGTAAGTGTTTGTGAGATTTTGTTTACATAATCAAACAATTATGGTTTTATGAGTTTCTGTTCTGTGCCCGCCAGTTTTTATTTCTGCAAGTTGTTGTTATACTTTATTTATGATGGATTCTTTCCTTTCACATTGAGGTCAATTCTCACTTCTCTTCATTTCATCTTCAAATGTGGGATAGCTTAGTCCTGATATGTGAACAATACTGCTGCTTAAAGAAACCTTTGCTACAGCTTGAAACAACAGGAACATTATGTTAAACTCAAACCAAATGTTACAAATAGTTCAAATGGACCTTTACTTTTAGGTTTGATATATGAGCTCCCACCCCAATATTTACAGCTAATTTCACTCACAATACTTAATACATTACTTCTGAACATGTGTTAGTTTTGGGATATTAAACCATAGGAATTGATGTACTTAAAAAGGCTTTATTTAGAGATATCAAACACTTTTTCTGTAGTGGTGCTACTTGACACGCGTTGTGCTATTTTTTAAACCAATAAACCAAAGAGTTGCAACACAAGGCCCCTGATATGTTTACTGCAAATGAATTTTTAGAGGTAATGGAGACATGGGAATAGTTATGTTGAGCTTTGTCTCCCTCTGCTGGTTAATAAGAAGTAACGACTCATTTGTAGCAGAGAGAAAATTGTGTTGTCTTGTTTTATGTGTTAAATATAGTATACTGGTGTCACTTCACTGTCATTTACTGTAAAAATAATGTAATAATCTTATTATTGTAGCTAGGAAGTGATGGAATGACCGATTGAGTCAGTAACCTCTACAAACCTGACATCTATAAACGGATAATCATGTTCTCTTACCAATTTTGCCAATTGCAATGAAACTGTGCTCCTTTAGGCCTAATGTTGAACAACTAATATGCTAAGATAATTTCTTTGATCTGCACCTCTTAAACTGAGGATCATCTCATCCAAGCAGTGATTTAAGACTAAACAACACACTACTTCCAAAAACACATACTTTTGCCCTTTGCCCTTCCATCACAAGTGTGTCACTGGTATAACCTCATAAAAACTGACAGGACTTAACCATAGGTGTCATTTACTCTGGGGATGCTGGGGACATGTTGACATGCATAGCTTGCACCAAGAAATGTTAAATAACAAGTGAAAATGCCACCCCCCCCCCCCCCCCCAAAAGGATCCAATGAGTTTCACACCAACTGGTAATTTCAGCCCATATGAGCAAGCCCAAAAATAAATGATACTGTATATATTTTTAATTCAAAATACTCATTGTTAATAATAAGTTCACAGGTCAATCTGTGCACCAGTAGTAAGACACAGTATAGCTGCATAACCTAGAATATAGATTCATTATTTGGCCATCAGGAAAAAAGGTCTGAATGCCTTACCAGCAGCTGCCTGACAGATCAAAGTAGACAGAATGAGCTTACTCCTGCGATTACAACATGACTCAGTATGCCTTTACTTAACTGCCTAATCTCTGTGGATTACCTGACCTTGCTTGAGCCCTGAGGTAGAAGATGATGTTCACTGAAGAGAGAAAGTAAGGAGAGACGGACTAGAAAGAGGGAGACGGATGGGGACGGCAAAAAGTAAAAGAATTTAAGGAACAAACTGGACTTTTTACAGTAAGTCAACTTCTGACAGCTACTTCCACCATCCACACCTACAGTTGAATCCATACCTGGAGTTACTCTCTGCTTTTTTTATATTTATATAAAGGACGTCTACGGAGGACAACCAAGAGGACAGTGCACCCTGGAGAACACCAACCACTGCCTTCAGCTCAAGTCTCAGAAAACCACAAGGCTGGTGATAAATTTGACTCTGGAGCCGGTGGTAAGACATTCTGTCTGGCTGTTATATTGGGCTAGTGGTTATAAAAACAAGCTGCAATAAGGTAAAAACAATAAAATAAGAGTAGCAAGGAAAAGGATAGACAGAGACTGGTGGTAGAATAGGGATGAAAGAGAAACACAGGGAAGAGCAGTGGACACTGTAGAACGAGCTAAGCCATGATAAGCCTATTTAAGCTACTTCACTCTCCACAGATCAAATGTTCTGTTTTAAACCAGTTGATCTGTGCTGGACTTCTGACTGCGAGCTATTTATTCACTTTATCTGATTTTTTGGCAGGATAGCTGTAGTTGACTGCCAAAACAGACCTTGAGTCCTACATTTGAATCATAGAGAGCCTTTCAACTGGACAAACATATTTTAAGTCTCTGTTTTCAAGCATCTGCCTATGCTCAAAAGCCCTTGAACCAACCACTGTATAATGTCCAGATCCTGTTCTGACCTCCATCCATTCCTCTATCTCCGTCCAGAACATGTCTCACGATCAGTGTGAATCAGTGGCAGTGAGTGTGGAGTCCCTCCTGAAAGATGCCAAGAGGATGCAGCTGCAGTGCCGTGAACGCAGCGAGCAGCTCTCCATGGCCGCCACGCAGCTCAGGGTGGAGTCGGCCACCCTGAGGGAGCAGTGCGAGGCCTCCCAACTCGACATGGCCCGCATCCGACGGCAGCTGGAGGAGCTGATGGATACCAAATCCGCCTTCGAAGCCAGGGAGAGGCAGGCGCGTAAACTCAGCAAGCAGCTGTGAGGAAATGATTGAAACCATCTGATTGGCACCCAGGAGAGAGGGGGTCAAGAAGAAGGGGTTAATCTTTAGAGACTCTGCAGGGGAGAAAAATAAATGGGTGAGGGAGGAAAGTAAGAGATGGGAAAGAAAGTCAAGAGAAAGAGCAAAGGAATAATATGCGACTTAAAATGTGTCCTTTTAAGTTGGTGTCAACTTGAGCAGAACCTAGAATAGAGTTTAGGACAGAATATTGCTTTGGACATTTTGGTAAAATTGACAATTTTGAAGAAAAAAATGTGTGGTTTGTTAGAGAAGTTGAGGGAAGAAAGCACTTTATCAGCATTGACAGCTCTATCTCGGCCACAAAAATTTTATCCCCTTCCTCTTTCCCACTTTTTATGTCAAATAAACACCGTCCAAATACACGCTTGTCTCTTTGCCGTTCTCGAGCATTTCTACACTTTTCACTTTTGTTTGCTTCATGGAAACTCAACTACCTGCCACATGTCATTGTGTGTGTGAGGTAAGTAGTTTAACGTTGATAAAGAGCAACCGAAGTCTGTTAAGGAATTAGATCATGTAGTCTCTTAACAGGCTCGAAAATGAGAAATGGCCTGATGTGCCTGAATGCCTTGAGTGGCTTTATAACGTTGTTCAGATGGATACGGGGGGGGGTAAACATGACTGCTAGCTAGATTGTAGCAGCTCTAATGAGAGCACTGGTGGCTATCTCCCTCCATGTTTGAAAGCAAATAACACCACCAAGTCGATAAAATGTGACAAAGTGCCATACGGTGGTCCAATGTGCAAGAAAATGTGATAAAGTGCCCTCTAAGGAGCCCTACATGCCGTGCCTGTAAATGCTTAAATACTTACTAGTTCCTGTTTGTTTTTTTATTACAGAGGTGTAGTAGTTATACTTTTAATCTGAGTCACTTAATAAAATAAGTTTAATCTTAACCAGGGTTTCCCCCCAAAGCATGCAGCTGGTGCCCTGTACATTGTTTTCGCCCCTGGTCCTCAGACAGCCTGAGTCCGCCACTGCCTATTTAGCTAAAAGTAGCTCCTTACTGTCTGAGTTAGGAGAAACTCCTAAAAATAAACTGGTGCGTGTCAGTCTTAGCCTTAAGATCCACGAGATTTTAGTCCATAGGGACTTTTAAAACCATTATGTTGATGGTTTTGGAGTTAATAAGTCTATCTCTAATCTTCCATCCAGTTTGGTCTTAAGTGTTCAAAAGACATTTGGTATTAGAAATTACTTTATCTAACAAGACACGTGCCCATGTGCAAAACTGCATGTTCAATTGCCACTATTGCTGTCGAATGACAAAGTTAGTTTCGATGTCTTCATATATTTTTAAAGTTGAATCCTTTTACCTTAAACTATTGACTATTTGTCTGAGGGATGTGTCCAAATGATCCAAGTAGCTTACTTACTTACTTTCAGTCATAGTAGTGACATAGTCATGAACATAATAATAAAATGTGACAAAATGTGCAAAGTTGCACCAACTGAATATCAGTGTGTATGTTTGTGCTTGTTTGTCTTCGTCATAGTGGTAGTAGAAATATTGCAATCCTAGAGAGCAGGCCTCACGAGCCCACAGAGAAACCTACAGGTCTTACACGAACATTTAAATATAATAATAAAACAACTAAACATTACTGTGTTTGTCTGACACACACTGAAATTCAAAGCATACAAACATATAAATACAACCAAACATTTTTAATTATTGTTACAACTAACCCAGACTCTTGTGGCCATGAACTAGCTTACCAACCATGAAAGAAGTCTGCACAGACAAACAATAAACATGATTTAAGTTTGATGAGTTTGACTACAAAGCAGGCTTCGCTACAACAAAACGTAAACTTTCTTACCTCAAAATAATTTTTTCCTTCTATAATTGACTGTCTCTGTCACAGGGTGCTATTTATTCCCATGTTGAATAAGGACTAAACTGAGCATGTGCAGAGTGAATCAGGTGATTCATAAGTTGTTCCTGATTGGAGTAATTGGATGTGTTACAACTGACCTGTGTTAAAACCATCCCCGGTCTCCACTACTTGGATCGTTGCATTAAATGTGACCCATTTGTGAACATCGTTGTCTGAAATGATTTGATTCTCTGTCACTAACCTTTGGCCTGTGTTGGCTGGTAATGTAACAATACTGTGCAGTATGACATGTACAGGGTTGGGCGGGTTACTTTAAAAATGTCCGTAACGTATTTGCTTTATTTTTGTATCCTGATTATGTAACAACCTTCTTGGTCAACTTGGCAAAAAAGCTAAATTCACACTTAAACCAGAGTGCTAAGTCCTAAATACCGAACAATAAATGTCCTAAAACAGCTGGCTGTTTCTCACTCACCAATACATTTCTGGTTATTAATTTGAATTGCAACAGACATTTAAAGTGCTTTATTCAATATTTTATATAAATAATGGATTTTATGACTATCTGTATGTGAAAGAATAGTGACGCCAGTAATTATCACCGGGCTCTATAGTTAACCTCTGCTCTACAGAGCTTTATAGTGGCTTTCAGCATCTTGTTTTGGTTTTACTGTCTGCAATTTAAAGGTGCCCTGTGGAGTTTTCTTGTAAACAAACACAGTTATGTTTATATTATCACCATTATGCATTGTGTGTATCCTTGAGGCCTAACAAATGTGTTGAACCATTTCCTTCATAAAACATCCGCAGGGACGATTTTTAAAAAATATTTTAAAACCAAATGGCCCGAGTTAGCGACTAGCTGCTGAACAGAGTGGAGCATTTAGCAGCTTAAGAGTCAGATATTTCCCTTTGGAGTTGGTGGAGAGCAAAACAGTGCTAAAAGAAAGCGAATATTGGAATTGGACTGTCATCAGATGGCCAGAAACAGGAAACCAAATGAATGCTACTATTGCCCCATATCTGGCGGATGTGTGAGATGACAA